CCAGTTTGTTCCTCGGATAGTATTACAGGTAGGCCACACCCCTGGGGAAACTCCCCCTAGACTGACCGGCCGCTTAGGACATAGTCATGTGATCCATCATGAGAAACAACACTCACAAGTGAAGTCCAGCCAAGTTGACAGATCTTCAACTATCACATGGGGCAATCTACTTCCATAGTGATACTGCCTCAGAAACCCAAGGAGGGGTCGCTATGAGTTGGTCCGACTCGACGGCAGATAACAACAACAACACGGTTATTGTTCACTTGTAGACCTGTCAATTATTTGACTGAAACTGAGCTATAGGAGTGAGTTCAGTTCCCAATCTGAAAAGTGATCTAGTTTTGAAGGTTCCACCAGTCTTTGTCTGACAAATAAGCCTGGTCATTTGTATGATTTTTGAATTTTGTTCCACATTGTTCTCTTACTGTATCCAGGTCCTTCTTGTGATCCCTGTCAGAATAGTTGATAATGGTAGTCAGGCACCATCTACTTTTTCTGGTCTAAGGATTGTGGAGACTGAGGTTTGCATGGCCCGTTAGCCCTTGGACTAATTGTTTTCATGTGTTTTTGATTTTCTTCATTCTTCTTTGCTTCAGACAAGGAAAGACCAGTAGTTGCACCTTAGATGGCTGCTTGCAAGTTTTTAAGACCCTAGTGGCTATTCACCAAAGTAGGATGTAGAACATTATCTTTGTGGACGGTGTTGTGCCAATTGACCTTGACAATCCCCCCAGAGTCTCAAGGCCCAGTGACTCACTCCTTTATGAGGGAATTTGTTATTTAGTTAAAAGGTGAATAGTCTTAGTGAAAATTTAAAGGATATCTCCAGTGTTAACTGGTCCAATAAGCCTGGACTTTAAAAAAAATTTTCTCCCATTCCATCTGTTATTCCTGATTAGAACACTTGATAGTGGTAGCCGGGTACCATCTGTTTCTTCTGGCCTCATGATACATAAGGTCATGGTTTCTGTAGACTGTTAGTGCTATAGATTAATTTCTTCTCTGAGTCTTTGGTTTTCTTCTCTTTTACTCTGGATGAGTAGAGACAAATAGTGGTGTTTTAGATGGCTATTCATAAGCTTTTAAGACTGTTGACACTACTCACCAAACTAGGATGTAGAACATGAAGTTTATGGATTATATTATGCCAGTTGACAGAGTAGTCTCATGTACTTTCATGTCACTCTTCTATGTAGCTCAGCTGCTTTTTTCTGAAACTGATCTGGGGGATCTGATTTAGATTTTGACCTTTTGCTAGTTATGCTTTACAAAATTATGTGTATATATATATATATATATATTTTTTTTTTTTTTAATTGTGATTTGAGTGGAAGTTTACAAAGCAAACTTTTTCCATGTAGCAGTTCACAGATACTTTGTTTCATGGCATTGATTGTAATCCCCCTAATGTAGCAGCTCTCTTCCCAGTTTTTCCCTGTGGTTACTTTTTCTCTGTGTCCTTCTTTCCTATGCATTCCCACCCTCTGAGCTGTCTCCCTGTGCAAATACTGCCCTTCAGACTCTCATGCTTTTTTGTTCTAAGGAGTACACCTACCTGGTATAAGTGTTCAAAATCAAATTAGTCTTTCTTTGGCAGTCACCTTATGTTATAACTTCAGATTGAGTTTGTTTTCAGTTAAAGTTAGGATGCTGCTGCTAAGCTAAGTGTTTCATATTTGCTGCTGAAAGTGTGGTCTGCTGACCATCAGCATCAACAACAAATTGAATGTACTGTGACTCCTTCAAACATTTGCCAACATTGCTCCTTCCATAGGACCTTCTCTCTTCTCTGGTTCTCTTCTTAAGATCTTGGCTGTAAAAATTTCTCCCATAAAAATGATTTCCTAAGGAGGAAGTTACAGTGTGGGATTGCAGTAAATGTCACAAACAGAATGTGTATAAATTGTTGAGTGGAAAACCAATTTGCTCTATAAACTTTCACCCAAATCACAATTTTAGAAAACTACTTGGGAAAAAAATAATTTCTTAAATTTCACATTTAACTTTAATAACCTCAGTGACTTGTCTTTTTAATGGCTAGAATATCACACTTTATCAATGCATGCTATTATCTAACACCATGATATGAAAATCCAGGTTTCATACAGGTAGTATTTTATCCATTCTATAGTTTGAAATTTTGATGTTGAACTTATATAGAACAAGGGTACCAGAATTTATATAGTATATCTTTATCTTTATTTCCTAGGGATGTCCTTTAACTCCATTGCCTGCAGTTAGTATTGCTATTCGATTTACCTATGTACTTCAGGATTGGCAGCAGTATTTTTGGCCTCAGCAACCCCCAGGTGAGAGAGTTTAGAGCTGTATTTAACTTACTGAATGTAATTGGTAAAGAAAATATAATAAGAAATCAAAATTACTTAACAGTTCATATCAAATGTTTTAAATTAGATATATTTGTAATCCATTTTAAATATAATATTGATTTCATTGCTTTTTATCATTTGATTTCTTTTTTCTCTTAAATAAAAAGCTCTATAGGCTGTTTTAGAGATAGTAATGCTCTATATTTGACAATCTGTCTTTGAAAACGAACATTATTTATAAAGCATCCCCTGCTGTGGAACATAATGTACTGTAAATTAGTATGTAGTGAATGATTAAACTGTCTGATATTAGAACATAATAAGAAAAGCCATCCTCATATCTGAGAGCAAACATACAGAGAGCTTTATAGAGATTAGAATTTGAAGAAGAAAGGTAAATACACAGAAGAGGGGGGAAAAAGCATGTGCATATATATAATACACATGTATGATAGAGCTGTAGAATATTTTACTTTAATGTGCATTTTATAAAAGTGTAATCAAAATTTGCTTGCTTTTTCATTGATACATGGATTCATTCAACAATCAAAGTTATCCTATAGTAAGCCAGATTGCTCCATAGACACAAATATGCAAGACATTACCTAAGTTCTAGAAAAGCTCACAGTATGGTGGACGTGTAGCCTAATGAAGTAAGGTTTTAGTTCTTATATGTTTCCCCCATACATAACTGTTATATTCAAGCACATCTATTAAAAAATTTAATACGAACTGGTAAATAATTAAAAGAATTTTACTAACCTGAAAACATGAACTAGAATACTATTCTTCATTATTTATTTTGTTTTAAGTAGTTGCTTATTTGTAAGATTGAAAATAATAAATGGGTAAGCTTGGGATAGTGCTAAAATTAATGTAGTATATCCTTAGCTTTTGGCAGTTAACAGTACTACTGTTTTCTTCTATGTACTACTGAATAATTTGAAACTCTTTAGGGACAATAAAAGAACTGCATCTAAACCACAGCAAAGGGAAATGAAAGCTAAGCTGAGATTTATATTAGAAGAACACTAAAATGTTTATGTTGGTAATTTCAGTTCTCAGACAGTTATACCCCTTGGAAAATGTGTAGTCTGCTTCAAGTTAGAAGCCTTAGTTCCCACCTTTCTTTTCCTTTATTTCTGAGGCTACTCTATTACTGAACGCTTTTAAAGCTTTCCCAAGGTGGTATGGTCTGTTGGTCTAAGAAGCCTAAGAGCCAGAATCTTAGCATTATAATTCTGGTTGCCAGTAAGGCCTTTGTTAATATTCTGTTGCCAATTGTTTTTAATGGGGATAAAGATGAACATTTTCCCCAGTGGATTGAAGGAGCTCTGGTGATGTAGAGGTTAAGGCATTTGGTTGCTCATCAAAAGTCAGGGGTTCAAACCTATCAGCAGCTCTACGAAAGAAAGATGGGGTGGTCTGCCTCCATAAAGACCACAGCCTTGGAAACCCAGTAGGGATCTCTATTAGTTGGAATCAGCTCAGTAGCAGTGAGTTTGATTTTGGTTCAGTGGATTGTTGTTGTTATTTGCCATCGAGTTGGACCCGACTCATAGTGACCCATCCTTGGGTTTCCGAGGCGGTATTACTACAGCAGTAAATTGCCCAACCTTCCTTCCGAGGAGTGGCTGGTGAGTTTGAACTGCCAGCCTTCTGGTTAGCAGTCAAGTGGATTGAGGGTCACATAAGTGCTTAACATTGCCTCTTACAAAAGGAAGGGACTCAACATGTAATATGGGCCAGATACTGTCCTTGGCATTTTTATGTAGTACTTCATTTCATTCTCATTTACCTCTGTGATAGACATTATTACCTGTCTTTCACTGGGCCAAAGTGACATAGCCACTGAGTAATAAAGTTGGAATTTAAACATGGAGCTGCAAATCCAGTGTTCTTTTTGTTCTGTGATGTTGCTTCTCAACTTTTAATTCTGTTAAATCCTTTCTTCAGTTATGCTCTAGTAATAATTTTTAAGGGGCTCTGGTGGTGTAGTGTCTTAGGCATTTGACTGCTAACCAGAAGGCTGGCAGTGCAAACCCACCAGCCACTCCTCAGAAGGAAGGTTGGGCAATTTACTTCCATAGTGATACTGCCTCAAAAACCCAAGGAGGGTTTGCTATGAGTCAGGGTTAATAATTTTTAACTTACTCATGTACTAAAATGTGCTTATTTTAAATTAGGAGCTCTTTAAAAATTCACATCTAGTAATAAAGTTAGTCATTGTGATCTTTATTATTATAAGCATTTTTACTTGCAAAATGGAATTGAGTTGATTTGAGAAAATTTACTGAATCAAGTAATTGAGCCGTATTAAATGATTAATAATTTAAACAAGCAAAACCAAACTCACTGCCATCGAGTCAGATCTGACTCATTTAATGAATAGTAAATAATCATCATGTTGTACAGTTGATAAACTTATCTGTTGTGTATGTGTGTGTCTTCATGTGAAAATCTAATAACTGTATGGTAAGAACTGGGTTAATTGACTGTTTATGTAATCACTAAGGCTTCTGGTCAACAGTTGGCTATTAGTAGTTAAGTTTTTGGGGAGTCAAAGGTTTTGCATAGATATTTGTCTGTGTGGGGCATTGACACCCCTAACCCAAACATTGTTCAAGGGTAATCTGTATAATTTTATTAATTATGAGAAATTTGTTATTTATAAATTGACATTAGGCAGCAAAACTGATATATTAGGTTAGTGATTCAGTTTTTAATACTTGAAGAGTTATCTTAATTAGGTAGTATTAATCACATTTTTTAAAAATGAAAATAAAAATTACAGGAATAATATTTCTCTTGAGTAATGCTTAGGGAATATTTCAGAAGGTTAAAATATAGAATACATAGTTTGAATGAAACACTGGGAAAATGGAGAAAAATTATGTCTCTTTCATCATATTAAGGCGCTCTGGTGGTGCAGTGATTAAGGCATTTGGCTGCTAACTAAAAGATCGGCAGTTTAAACCCATTAGCCACTCCATGGGAGAAAGATGAGACAATCTGCTTCCACAGAGATTTACAGCTTTTGAGACCCTATAGGGCAGTTCTGTTCTATCCTATAGAGTCATTATAAGTTGATCAATTTATTGGCATTGAGTTTGGGTTTATTACATTTTCAGAGGAAGTCTTTAGTACTTGATGTGTGCTCTTATTTTAGGTACTTTTAAAGCTATAATCTCCCAAATGGCTTAACTTTACTAGATTAGATTCTTACTTCTCTATTTTTGCCAAATAATAGAAAAATATTACTTTTCTTTAGATATAGATGCCCTTGTAGGAGGAGAAGTTGGAGGTCTGGAATTTGGCAAGTTACCGTTTGGTGCCTGTGAAGATCCTATTAGGTGAGAGTTTCAGTCTATTATTGTAATTATTGGACTATTTTACTTCTTAAATTTATATTGATATTACCTTCACTATACTTTAGAATGGGAGCTCTGGTAATGTAGTGCCTAAGGCACTTGACTGCTAACCAGAAGGCTGGCAGTTCAAACCCACTAGCTGCTCCTCGGAAGGAAGATGGGGCAATCTACTTCCGTAGTGATACTACCTTGAAAACCCAAGGAGAGGTCACTGTGAGTCGGGTCTGACTCGATGGCACATAACAACAACAAACAACAATACTTTATAATACTGTAGCCTGCTAGAATGAATGTCATACTGGAAGTAGAGACCTATACCTAATAATCTTTTCATCTTTGTTTTTCTCTGTAACTTAAGAAGTAAGAGGTTTTAAAATAATACATAAAAAGTTGATGACTACCATTTATTGATTGTTCTTCATGGAAGTGATTATTACTCAAATGATACATACATTTTAAAGCTTTTGGATATGTTTTATATTTTGTGTATTTTAGTGAACTTCATTTAGCAACAACATGGCCTCATCTGACTGAAGGGATAATTGTGGATAACGATGTTTATTCGTAAGTATGTTAAGAGTAATACGTTAAGGTCCAAAAAGAAAGTAAAATTAACTGCCTCATTGTCAGCAATTTTCCTTTTTTTAACATCAATTCCTGAAAAGATTAATTTTTCTCTTTTTAAAGATTACTTTTTAGACAGATTAATATGTATTAGAGATGTATTTTAGGCTGCTGACTTTGGGGATGAATCCTTACTTCAGAGATAATGAACAATCTGAATCTGTTGGTTTTAGGAAGAAAAATACCTCTAAGCAGTGTGAGATTCAGTGCATAATCCTGTTAAACTCCTCTTAGCCAGTCAGAAGCATTTTGTAAAGTGCTTATGAAGAGATGATGGTCATCAAAATGTACTGGAATAATACCTGGTCATTTAATGTTGTGAATCATAAAACACCCATGTTATATACACCTGTATAGTAAAACAGCTTGAAAATTATAGGAAGAATTGTTTAGGAAGAATATGCAGAAAGAAGAAGGCCATTTATGTAATTATTTCTCATGTTTGATGCAAAACAATGAGAAATAGTGTACATTTTTTTTTTTCATAAAGATAAATTTGTGATATTTGCTGATGATTTTAAAAGTAACATGAGTGCTCTTCATTAGGTAATTTGGACAGGTATATAGAAGAAAGCAAAGACTATCTGTAATCCCATCTAATAAAAAAGAACCAGTTAATATTTTGGGATATATCTTTTAAAATTTATTTATATTTTTTTCTTTATTCATTTAATGTATCATCTTATATCTTCTATGCCAATAAGTGTAGATCTCTGTTGTCATTTTTAAAATGACTGCACAGAATTCCAGTAAGTTTATCTGCCGTGATCTATTTGACTGATAAAATAGGGCATTTTGATCATGTGTAAAATTTTCCAGTCTCTATATTGATTGATAGGAGCTCTGGTGGTATAGTGCCTAAGCCATTTGACTGCTAACCAGAAGGCTGGCAGTTCAAACCCACCAACCACTCCTCAGAAGGAAGGTTGGGCAGTCTACTTCCATAGAGATCCCACCTCGGAAATCCAAGGAGGGGTCACTATGAATTGGATCCAACTCGACGGCAGGGAGTTTGGTTGGTTAGTTTATATTGATTGATAATGATATACAAAGCAAGTTTGAGATAATTAAGCATAATTGCTATTATTTCTTTTTTATTATAATTCTTTCATTATTGTTGTGTGCCATGGAGTTGATTCTGACTCATAGTGATCCTGTGTGACAGAGTAGAACTGCCCCATAGGGTTTCCTAGACTATAATCTTTATGAAAACGAACTGCCAGGTCTTTTTTCCTGTGTGGTTGCTGGTGGAGTCAAAGCACCAACTTACCAATTAGCAACTGAGGGCTTAACCATTTTGCCACCAGGGCTCCTTAAGTCTCGCATTAGGTTATCAGTATGCATTGCCTCTTCTTGGGTCTGTTTTTTAATCTTTTTGTTTTTGCTGGTTTTTATTTTTTTTTGTCTAAAAATATAATTTCTTAAGTTTTTTATTTTTTAACTTATGAAAGTGGCCTCATATACCTAGAAAACAATAAGTTTAAGAGAGGCAAAATGGACTTCTTGTGCTCCATAATATTTTCTTTACACTATAATTTGATAAGTCCATGAATCTTGCAGGTGGTCATAATTAGAATATTATGTTTATTATTTTGCATTTTAGTGATCTGGATCCTATTCAGGCTCCCCATTGGTCTGTTAGAGTTCGAAAAGCCGATAATCCTCAGTGTTTGCTGGGTAAGATGTATTATATTCCTTTCCTGAAAACCACCAGTCTGACCATCTTCCACATAAGGAAGAATGAATACATCCTTTATGCTCTATTTCCCCTTTCCAAAATTATTTTTTAAATTTGTATTCTCCTCAGTGAATATTCCTTTTTTTTTTTTTTAATCATTACCAACAGCAGTAAATTCTTGAACAGCACTAGCAGGATTTCAATTTCAAACTCAAACTTTCAGTTTCAACCAGTCCACATGTTACAATTCTCTAGTATTTTTCATTACTGAGTTTTATTTGTCTAATATTTTTATGTTCTTCGCTTTTCTTCTTCCTGTGGTATAGTCTGCATCTTCTAGTTAGTGACACCATCTTTGCTTTTTGTTGTCTCTCCGGACCTGTAGGACATGATGAGAAGAGCACTGATTTTGACAGCCTGGTTAGAGCCCTCTGTAGTGTTTTAACATCTCTGCAGGCCTATTTACTGATACAGGAAAAGGAATATAAATAATCTTGTATTCATCACAGGATTATTGGAAGAATGAAGTGAAACGATATAAATGGAAGGACTTTTAAAAACATCAGTTGCTATTCAGATAGTATTTTTTTTTCTGACTTTTTTTTCTAAATTTTATTTTGTTGTTCTTGAGAATATATACAGCTAAACATATACCAGTTCCACAGTTTATGTGTGTATAGTGACATTGATTACATTCTTTGAATTGTGCAACCATTCTCACCCAACTTTTCTGAGTTGTTCCTCACTCATTAATGCAAGGTTCTTGTCTAATCTTATGAGTTGCTATTGTCAGTTTGATCCCGTATATATAGTTCTTAAAAGAGCAAAGTGGTCAAGGCAGACCTTTTTCACTATTTAAGCTAAACTGTTGTTCAGTTTTAAGATGACTTCAGAGGATATTTTTGGCTTAAGGTTTAAAGATTTTCACAGAGCATTAGTTTCAGGGGCATCCAACCTTCATGGCTCTATAAAGTCTGAACTCTGTGATAATGTAGTATTCTGTTCTGCATTTCCCCCCTTTTGATCAGTATTTTTCTGTGGGATCTTTGATCATAGTATTCAATAATGATAGCTGGGCACCATCCAATGATCTCATGGCAAAGGACGGAATTGCTAATGGAAGCAATTAGCCACAGTTGCCATATCCTCCTTCTTTTACTGACTCTCCTTCTTCTTCTTCTATTGCTCCAGGTGAATAGACACCAATTGTTGTGCCTTGAATGGTTGCTTGCAAGCTTTTGAAATCCCAGGCACAACACAATGAGATAGGAGGTAGAATGCAGCACTAAACATGATAGTGGGCCAATTAACTGAGATGTCCATGATCCTAAAGCTCCAAACCAAGGAACCAAATCCCATGAGATGTGTAGTTGTACATAATTCAGATAATGTTACTATACCCCATGTCTGGAGTTGTCTTTGCCATTCCATTTTTATTGATATATTTCTTTCATGAAATCTTCTGAACCCATCTCAGTATGCATTTTTATCTTTTTCTCCCTTATATTAGTACACATGAAAACATTTTCTCCATTTCTTGTGTTCATCTATGTCACCTTCTGTCCATATCACCCATTCAACTAGTGCCATTACTAAATGTTTATTGTTGATAGTAACAATGCATTTCTCTTAAGAATTATTTTTTTGAACACTTTATTCTTCATCATGTGCTATTTATCATATGCTAATTAGCTCTTTCCATTTGGGTTAAGTACATTATTATAGTGAACACAAAGATATATAAGGTAAAATTTATACCCTTGGTGAATTTTTCTGGGATTTAAGGGGAATAGTATAGGGTCAATGTCAAGAGCTTTGAAATGGGTCTGACCTTGGTTCAAATCCTACATCTACCAGTTTGGACCGTTTATTTAATCTCTTCAAGCCTTAGTGTCTCCACTAGTAATAGAGATAATAATAGTAGATACTTCACTGGGTTTTTATGAGGATCAAGTGAGATTTTGTACCTTTGTGTACGTATATGTGTATCACACTTAACACAGAGCCTGTCTCATAGTAAATGTTCAGTAAATGATTTTTGTTGCTTTAGTCATTCAGTCATTAAATTTACTTACTAAATTTCTTTAATTCCTTATTGTTCCTTCTCCACTGACTTCTGCGATAATTGCAAAGGGATTTAGAATTAAAAATATTCTCATTTTAAGTTAGTTTCATGATTTCACCCTAATTCTTTATCTAGAATACAGGACTTTCTCACTTTTCTAGGAAAATGCTCTAGATTTATTCTGAACTAGTTGGTGAATTCTAAAACTTAGATGTACTTAGTAGTTTGTATTATCTGATAACTTTAGTACAAATGATTCTTGTTAAGCTATAATTTTTTGTGCTAATCTGCTTCATGGCAACTCTTTAGAAAATACTGAATCCCTTTCCCCCATTGCAGTTCTTTAGAAGGTACTGATCCCTTTCCCCTTCTTATAATGATACAAAGCCTATCAAGGTTGAAATACCTTCAACCTGCCAGATTTCTGAATCCTGTAGAAACATATCTCAGTGTCTCTTTTTTTGTTTTTTAATGGATTCAGAATTCTAGTATGATACTAGCTGCAGAAAGAAGAATACTACATACATGTACAGTAATAATTCTTGTTAATTATAGAACTTCATTAACAATAGATAGTATGTGACTCATTGAGGTAAACAGTAAGTGCTTACTATTACTGGGTACAGTTATTTTTTTCCTATCATTCTAGAGGAAATTCTAAGGCTTTTTTGTTTTTGTTTTATTTTAATGTCTTGGGACATGGAGAAAAAGGAAGAACAAGTCTGTTTTTAAAACAGGATTAATTTCTGGCATCTCAGGGGGAAAAACTGTTTTTTTTTCCTGCCATATCTTAGTTAATAGCTTTTGTGAAAAGATGTATGCTTTAATTTGTAGGACTGATTTCTATCAGTTAAGTGTGAAAAATATGTAACTTTTTTTTTTTTAATATAGGTGATTTTGTCAGTGAATTTTTTAAAATTTGCCGTCGAAAGGAGTCAACTGATGAAATTCTCGGACGATCCACATTTGATGAAGAAGGGAGAGGTGACCTACTTTTTTTTTTTTTTTTAAGTTACTTACAAATAACTAATCCTTTTTCTTTGGCCCATTTTGCAACAACTTTTCATCTTTTTTCTCATTTTGAACTAAGTTAGAGAAGCAAGTTTTGATGCCCTAGACAGTTACCATTTCTCTCTAGACTATACCTTGAGCTTGTTAACACATTATGTGCATTTAATAAGTTTGTTCCACCAAATATGTGGAATGTTTTGAAAAGAAGAGTTAGAAGTTTATCTTTCAGATCCCCTGGGGAGAAAAATTTGTATGAAACTTTTGTTACTCATGCTTGCATATAAAATTGAACATATATATTAAAATTATATAGTTCTGAGATCATGTAACACTAGTAGAAAGAGTACCTCAGTTTTCTATACAATCATCAATTTATGTATGACTTTAATCTGCTAATGCAGATGATATAATTTGCACTCATTTCTGTTCTTTTTATAGAAATTACTGATATAACTCATGCTTTGTCAAAGTTGACTGAGCCAGCACCGGTTCCAATTCATAAATTATCAGTTTCAAATATGGTACACACTGCAAAAAAGAAAATACAAAAACACAGAGGTGGAGAAGAGTCACCACTGAATAATGATGTCCTCAATACTATTCTCTTGGTAAGTAAGTATAGTGTCTTTCTCTAACTATATGTGTAATCATTTTATTCATTACATATTAAATCCCTTCTATGTGGCCAGCACTGAATTGAGAATACAAACTGAGGAAATAAGAAACCAATAGTTACAATATTGCCTGTAAGAAGTCTGATAGACAGGCTGTAAGAATACAGCAGATAGTGCATTCCTCTGTCTGGCATACTTCAGCTGAATCATGAGGAGAAGAAGGCTTTAGAAGCAGAAGAATAGCAGAGGACTGAAACAGCAAGTTGAATAATTTGATACATTGTTGGGTGGTCCCAGGGAGTGAACAGGGATGATGCTGGTGAGGTGAGTACTGGATTTTACAGTTTGAAACTATTATAAACAGAAGGTTGATATGATCAAGATTGTATTTTTGAAAGTTTCCCTTGAAATACTAGAGAAAGTTTTATATTGAGGTTTAGAGAAGGATCGAGGTACATTTCTAGGGTGGCACCTAGGTAAAACATGGTGGAATGGGCCCAGCCTTGGAACCATGCACACCAGGGTTTAACTCTGACTTTTACTGAATGATTTTGAATAAGCCATTTAACTTCACTTTACTCATCTATAAAATGAACAAATCTAGTAAACCTATGGGAATTTTTGTGAGGATTAAAGGAACTTCTATTATAACTTGGCATATAATGGTAAATGATAACTTTGGTAAATGATAACTGTTCTTAGATGATTGCAGTTATGATTGTATGTCTGGCAATTTTTGTGTTAAGACAATCCTGGAAAAAAATTTTTTAAAGTGTCATGGGGTGGCAGTTGACTTCACAAAAGGGGAAGAGAATCAAGATCAACAGCCCAAGGCTGATTCCTATGAGATGGAGGTGAGACTTGCTTCTACCCTCCAACCTTTATACCACTTTTGACACCACCTGTCCCTTCCATGGCACTCTGTACTTCTCTGCTGGGTTTGATGATTCATTGCAATGGCCACAAAAAACTCACAAAGAATACCCAAGATTGTGAGGTGAGGTTCGTTAGGGAAGTAACAGGTCACAGTTCCGAATTAGAAACAACTCAGGGTACAGGTCTTTGATCGGGACAATCACTTCTCTGCCATGCCTGCCAGCACATTTTTCTCTTACCCTTGGCCCCTTACCCCTTGGCCTATGCTCTGCTTGGATAAGTGTTTCAAAGTTCCTTTAGCTCTACTGATAAGTATCTGGGCACCCCACTGTGCCAGTAAGCCTCGGCCTGATGGTACTCAGCTCTAGCTCCATAGGTTGGCAAACTTAGCTCCACCAAGTGCCCAAAGGTACCCTACTCCACCAGCAAGCCTTTTGCCCAAAGGCACTCAGCTTTCTAGTTCCACAGGTCCACAAGGTCATCGCTATGTCTCCTGCCAGTCTCTTGGTTCAGCTGCCTCTGCTGCCATCATTTCTCTGCCACTGCGTCTTGCCATCTCTTGGTGTCTCTCCGTTATTACAACTTTCTGTCTCCTAGATCTGAGAGGTTCAAGCCTAGTGGGATGGCAAAACCAACCAATTATTAGGGTTCCATATACTTTATTTGTGTGGTTCCACCTACACAAGGGTGCCATGCATCTTATTGAAATTACTCACAAGCTCTTCATTCCCCTTGGTGGCCATAAGCACATCAGTTTGCATAGTCTTACCCCATTTGCATAATCTTACCCTTACCTAAGGGAGACAAACTTGTCTGTCAGTTTGTAGCCCTGTGGTGGCTTGTGTGTTGCTGTGAGGCTGGAGGCTGTGCCACCAGTGTTTCAAGTGCCAACAGGTTAGCTATGGTAGACAGGTTTCAGTGGAGCGTCAAACCTAAGACAGACTCAGAAGAAGGAAGAGGCCATCCATTTCTCAAAGAATTGGCCAGTGAAAACGTTATGAATAGCAGTGAAACAATGTCTGATGTGTTACTGAGAAATAGCCCTGAAACATTGTCTGATATAGTGCCATAGGATGAGCACCTCAGGTCAGAAGGCACTCAAATTATGACTAGGACAGAGCTGCCTCCTCAGAATAGAGCTGACCTTAATGATGTGGATGGAGTAAAGCTTTCAGGACCTCCTTTTGCTGATGTGGCACAACTCAAGATAAGAAGGAACAGCTGCAAATATCCATTAATAATCAGAACATGAAATATATGAAGTATGAATCTAGGAAAATTGGAAGTTGTCAAAAATGAAATGGAACACATAAAGATCGATAGCCTAGGCATAAGTGAGCTGAAAGAGACTGGTTTTGGCCATTTTGAATCAGAAAACCATATGATCTACTATGCTTTGAATGACAAATAGAAGAGGAATGGCATGGCATTCATCATCACAAAGAATATTTCAAAATTTATCCTGAAGTACAATGCTGTCAGTGACAGGATAATATCCATATGCCTATGAGGAAGACCAGTTAATATTACTATTATTTAAATTTACGTACCAACCACCAAAGCCAAAGATGAGGAAATTGAAGATTTTTACTAACTTCTGCAGTTTGAAATTGACTGAACATGCAGTCAGGATGTGTTAATTATCACTAGTGAGTGGAATGCAAAAGTTGGAAGCAAAGTAGAATTTCCAGTAGTTGGAAAATGTGGTCTTGGTGATAGAAATGATGCTGGAGATTGCATGATAGACTTTAGCAAGAAGAACAACTTACTCAATGTAAATACCATTTTTCAACAACACAAATGGTGGCTATACACATGGACTTTGCCAGATGGGACGGGAATGAGATTGACTACATCTGTGGCAAGAGGTAATGGAAAAGCTCAGTATCTTCAGCCAAAACAAGTCCAGGAGCTGATTGTGGAACAGACCATCAACTTATATGTAAGTTCAAGTTGAAACTGAAGACAATTAAAACAACTCCACGAGATCCAAAATATGACCTTGATTATATACTTCCTGAATTTAGAGACCATCAAAAGAATAGATTTGGTGTATTGAACACCAATGACCGAAAACCAGAAGAATTCTGGGATGACATCAAGAACATCATCCATGAAGAAAGCAAAAGGTCATTAAAAAGACAGGAAAGGAAGAAAAGACCAAAGTGGATGTCAGCGGAGACTCTGAAACTTGCTCTAGAATGGAGAGTAGCTAAAGCAAATGGGAGAACCAACAGGATAAAAAGAGCTGAACAGAAGATTTCAAAGAGCAGCTTGAAAAGACAAAGTCAGTTATTATAATGAAATGTGCCAAGAGAAAGAACACACTTGGCATTTCTCAAGCTGAAAGAACTAAGGAAAAAAATTAAGCCTCTAATTGCAATATTGAAAGACTCCACGGGCAATATGTTGAATGATGGCCAAAACCTCAAAAGAAGATGGTTGGAATACAGAGTCACTGTATGAAAAGGAATTGATAGATGATCATCAATTTCAGGAGGTGGCATATGATCATAAACCAATGCTATTGTAGGAAGAAGTCAAAACTACACTGAAGGAATTGATGAAAAACGAGGCTCCAGGAATTGACAGAATACCCATTGAGCTGTTTCAACAAACGGATGCCCCACTGGAGGCACTTACTCAGCTATGCCAAGAGATTTGGAAGACAGCTACCTGGCCAACTGACTGGAAGAGAGCCATATTTGTACCCATTCCAAAAAAAGGTGATCCCACAGAATGTGGAAATTAGTGAACAATATCATTGATATCACACACAAATAAAATCTTAAGATAATTCAAAAACAGTTGCAGCAGTATATTGACAGAGAACTTCCAGAAGTGCAAGCTAGATTCAGAAGGGGACGTGGAACAAGGGATATCATAGCTGATGTCAGATGGATCTTGGCTAAAAACTAAGAATACCAGAAAGATGTTTACTTGTATTTTATTAACTATGCAAAGGCATTTGATTGTGTGGATCATAACAAGTTATGCATAACTTTGAGAAGAATGGGAATTCCAGAACACTTAATTGTAGTCATGAGGAACCTGTACATAGACCAGGAGGCTCTCATTCAAACACAACAAGGGAGTGCTGCATGGTTTAAAATCAGGAAGAGAGTACATCAAGGTTGTGTCCTTTCACAATACTTATTCAACTTGTATGCTGAGCAAATAAATCCAAGAAGCTGGACTAAATGAAGATCATGGCATCAGGATTGGGGAAAGGCTTACTAACAACCTGTGATACACAGATAACACAACTTTGGTTGCTGAAAGTGAGGATGACTTAGAGCACTTACTGGTGAAAATTAAAGACCACAGTCTGTGATATGGATTACACCTCAACATAAAGAAAACAAAAATCCTCACAGCTGGACCAATAAGCAGCATCACGATAGATGGAGAAAAGATTGAAGTTGTCAAAGATTTCATATTACTTGGTTCTACAATCAACACCAATGGAAGCAGCAGTCAAGACATCAGAAGACATTTTGCATTGGGCAGATCTGCTGCAAAAGACCTCTTTCAAGTGATGAAGAGCAAGATATCTCCTTGAAGACTAGGATGTATCTAACCCAAGCCATGGTATTTTCCATCGTCTCATATGCGTGTGAGAGCTGGACAATGAATTAGGGAGATCGAAGAAGAGTTGATGCTTTTGAGTTGTGGTGTTGGTGAAGAATGCTGAAAGTACTGTGGACTACTAGAAGGACTAACAGTCTGTCCTGGAAGAAGTGCAGCCAGAATGCTCCTTGGAAGCAAGAATGGCCAGTCTTCGTCTTACCTACTTTGGTCATGTTGTCATGTCAGAAGGGACCATTCTCTAGAGAAGGATGTCATGCTTGTGTAAAGTGGAGGGTCAATGAAAGAGGGGAAGACCCCCAGTGAGATGGATAGACAGAGTGGCTGCAGCAATGGGCTCAGGTGTAGTAGGGATAGTGAAGCAGGCACAGGACCAGGCAGTGTTTCATTCTGTTGTACATAAGGTCTCTATGAGTCAGAGATGAGTTGATGGCACATAACAACAACAACAACCCTGTCATTTGGTGGGAGTTACAAAGACTGTGGCTAAAAGGGCCATATTAAGTAATTCACTCTTCTGCAATGTGGCAAAGTATCCATAGTAAAAGGAAATTATTAATTAGCTGTACTAGTATGTACTGTAACAGTTATGAGAAGCAGTTATAAAAAGACTGAAAATTTCTGTAGAGAAGGTGGCTTCTTAAGATCATCTATAGAGATTTTATTTAAATTCTATAATTCAGTTATCATATATACTGAATTTATTCCTCAAATCTGTGTCCATCTGAATTTTCTATCAATGGCACCAATTTAAAACTTGGAGTTACTTAGAATGACTGAATAATTATACAGATAGGGGAAGAAAGTGACAAGAAGTTATTAGCACCCTTCTCCCCCTCACACACATACACATATTAACATATTTAATCAGAAGCCATATGGAAAAGATACACTGGTCAATATAAGTTTAGACTGTTTCCTACTTTCTAGGGATATCTAAGAAAAATACAGTTATTGGTCTGGAATATTGTGCCTTTCACTTTTGAAGATTTAGGATGTTACAACTCTACAGAGCCTCATGAATACATGTGTATTTAATTTTTTTTTTCTTTTTAATAATATTAATACTTTTAAAAATATTTTGTGGTCTTGGATGAGTATGAAGAGAGAGTTCGTTTTATATTGTTCAGCCACAGTATCAGATACCACAATATTACTTTACTTTTAAGAAAATCTCATTTTTAAAATTGGTTAGTCATTGAAACCCTGTGCTTTTTTATGGCAGATATTTGAGATCATATAGAACCAGCTGACCAGTACAATAGGAATATTTCCGTTGTTTAAACAGTGAAACCAGTGAAAAGTTAAATAATGTCTGTATGAGTTATTACATAAACAAAATAGGAAATTTGGTCTAAAATGTGAATATTTTTTTCTTCCCCTAAGTTCTTATTTCCTGATGCTGCATCTGAAAAATCATTAGATACAAATACTTCAACAGACAACAATAATCCTCCATCAGAGAATGAAGAATATGTAAGTTGATTTGCGTTTCAATATTAAAATATGTGAAATACATTGAATTTCTAGGGGCTTGCTATGTTTCTAATTTGTTATTGTTGTTATGTGCCATCGAGTCATCTCCAAACTCATAGTGACCCCTTCTTGTTTCTAATTTGTGTTGTTATGTGCTGTTGAATCGGACCCGACTCATAGCAACCCCTCCTTGGGTTTCCGAAGTGATATCACTACGGAAGTAGATTGCCCAACCTTCCTTCCGAGGAGTGCCTGGTGGGTTTGAACCTCCAGCCTTCTGGTTAGCATTTAGTAATGTAAAAATCTTTATTTTAAATAGCACATTGTTGTTGTTGTTATGTGCTGTCAAGTTGGATCCGACTCATAGTGACCCCTCCTTGGGTTTCCGAAGCAGTATCACTACGGAAGTAAATTGCCCCATCTTCCTTCTGAGGAGTGGTTGGTGGGTTTGAACCACCAACCTTCTGGTTAGCAGTCAAGTGCCTTAGCCACTATGCTACCAGAGCTCCCAAATAGCATCTTAGGAAAACTAAATGGAGACCATCACCTCTACTCAGGTAATGCTCTGTTACATAACATTGCCACAGATAATTTGGTTAGCAAGAATTTTTTTCGAAACAATGAAGAAATATCAACACACTGTGAATTGTTACAAGCTCTTGCTCATTTTAGAGTTTTGTAAAATTATCAAATTGATGTTTTCCAACAGTGATTCTTCTCTATAGATGTCAAAACTAGAAAGTGAATGGAAAACTATAATGAAGTAAAATGTAAAGTTGTCATGTTCTCATATCTAGATATTTGATAAATGGAGAAATGAGTGAGTTTAATTAACATGCAGAGACATACCAAGCTCTTTAGAATGTTATTTTTGGGAAGTAGATTTCATTGAGTGAGAGAAGAAAAGCAGAGGTTTTTATATTGTTAGTTTATACAGGTCTGATTTAGTTTTGATTTGGAGTGGAAGGGGAGTTAGTGTTTTGTTTTACAACAAGCTTATACTCCTTTTATCATTGAGAGAGTTTTTAAACAATGTGGAATCTGGAATATATCTTAAAGATTCAACAAAGGAAAATTGAGAGCTATCAATTTAGCCTCACTAAACTACATATTTTTGATCTTAGTAGGAATCTTAAAAACACTGAACTACCTAGTAGCAAGTAGATTGTAGTGTATTTAAAAAGAAAAAAAAAAGACACACTGCCACTGAGTCAATTCCAACTCATAGCTACCCCCTTTTGGTTTCCAAGGCTGTAAATCTTTACAGAAGTAGATTGCCCCATCCTCCTTCTGTAGAGTGGCTGATGGGTTTGAACCACCAGCCTTCTGGTTAGCAGTCAAATGCCGTAGGTACAGAGCTCCTTAGTAGTGTATTAGACATTTGATAAAAGCTAGTTTGGGTGGGATAGATTAGTTTTAGTAGTCAAATCTCTTTCTATACACTTTTTTGATTATACATGTAAATATACTGTTCACAAGTTTTCACTTTGTTTCTTTTTTGTTCAATTTAGAATCTATACAACCAGTTCAAATCTGCACCATCTGACAGTTTAACATACAAATTGGCTTTGTGTCTTTGTATGATCAATTTCTACCATGGAGGGTTAAAAGGAGTGGCACACCTTTGGCAGGAATTTGTTCTTGAAATGCGTTTCAGATGGGAAAACAACTTTCTGATTCCAGGGTAATAATTTCAATTTCCAGTTCTTTAAGTAGGATTTTTATTTGTTAGCAAATGTTTGACCTTTGGCCCATTAATTCACCTGTTCTAGGAAATCTGTCTTGAAAATGGTAAGACACTTGAAGATGACTTATGTACAGAGATGTTCACTGCAGCTAATTTACAGTAGGAAAAGGAAAGGTGGAAACAGCCTAAATATCAAACAGTAAAAGAAGGGTTAAGTAAATTGTGATACATTTCTATAATGGAATATTATGGAGCTATTAGAAGCTTTTTTCCAAGAATCCATAATAGTACCCAAAATGTTTATAATGTTTGTAGTAAAGTATAGTATTGCATAAACAAAGTAAATTATGCTTTTATGTGTATATATATATATATATACACACACACACACACACACACATACATACATACATACATATCCACTTTTGTTTGTCCCCTCGGGTCAACAAACCACCAATAGCAAACACAACAGAAACTTCCAGACATAGTGACAAAATAGTGATAACTCTCACCTAGAAAAACCACTGTTAACAACTGGCTGTGTTTCTTTCTCATCATTTATATACATACATACATATGCATATGAAAGAAAGAAAAAAACAAAAAGGAAGAGGAAAATATGAAAGAAAACACACATATACACACAAAAAAAAATACGAAAAAAAGAAATAAAAAAAAAGAAAGAAAAAAATATAAATATATATGCATGTATATAAATGATGAGAAAGAAACACAGCCAGTTGTTAACAGTGGTTTTTCTAGGTGAGAGTTATCACTATTTTGTCACTATGTCTGGAAGTTTCTGTTGTGTTTGCTATTGGTGGTTTGTTGACCCGAGGGGACAAACAAAAGTGGATACGTGACTCTGTCTTTTAGTCTTAGTTAACTTCTTTTCTGAAACTTAGTTATCTTATAGAAATCTAGTTTTGATTTCTCATCAATATGGCTGAAACTTATGGCGGTATGAAAAATATGCATATCTGAAGCTATTTTACTAAATTTATTCTTTTCTTACCATTTTATTTGATAGATTGGCAAGTGGACCCCCTGATCTAAGATGTTGTTTACTGCATCAGAAACTACAGGTAAAGATTTCCTAATAACAACATATAAATGTGATCTTTATTATATCAGACCTTTTTAAACAGTAATGTAATAATAGATCATACTCTTTTCTCATTATGCTGATGTAAGTTACTGACAGTCACTATCATTCACAATAAGATCTGGAGAAGGGGTGGAGAATAAACATGAAATTTGCAAGGAATGCATTTTTTTTTTTAATAGTAACTGATTAAAATACATGATTTCTGTTTTCTTAAGATGTTAAACTGCTGTATTGAAAGAAAGAAGGCACGTGATGAGGGGAAAAAGACAAGTGCCTCAGATAACATCACTAATACATATCCAGGGAATGCTAGAAAAACTGGAGACCTTTTGGGGTCAGAGAATCTGAAAGATACAGATAAAGAAAAGGGAGAGGTGGGAAAATCTTGGGACTCTTGGAGTGACAGTGAAGAAGAATTCTTTGAATGCCTAAGTGATACTGAAGAACTTAAGGGAAACGGACAAGAGAGTGGCAAGAAAGGAGGACCTAAGGAGGTGGCAAATTTAAAACCAGAGGGACGTCTCCTTCAGCATGGGAAGCTCACACTGCTGCATAATGGAGAACCTCTCTACATTCCAGTAACCCAAGTAAGACATAAAGTGATTTTTAAAATTTATTTTGTTGTTTATATAACTTCATTCTAAAGCAAAAAAAAAAAAAAAAAAATCCAAACCTGCTGGCATTGAATCAGTTCCAACTCATAATGACCCCTGTTGGGTTTCCAAGGGTGTAAATCTTTATGGAAGTAGATTGCCTCATCACTTTCCCTTGGAGCAGCTGGTGGGTTTGAACTGCTGACCTTCTGGTTAGTAGTTAGATGCCTTACCCACTACATCACCAGAGCTTCTCAACTTCATTTTAGTAGAAGATAATTGCTTTGGGTAGGGGCATTCCTTAGAAAGTCTCTGTCCAGAGGTTTAAGATTTGAAATCTAAATAAACATTGGGGCTTTTAGATATACCATTTCTGAAATTGAGAAATGTTTTGATGTTTAAGTAGGTAGTAGCTCATCATGCAAAAGGTGATCTATTACTTTATAAACTGAGTGGGGAGTGTTCAGCTCTTTATAAAACAAAATCCAAAAATGTGGAGGGGAATGAACAAAAATAAAAACTCTTCAGTTATATGCTTGATTTTTTTCTGTTCAAAAATGCAACTTGAAGCCATTTTATACCATTAAGAAGTATAATAGCAACAACTCAACATCTGAAGTAGATGTTTTGTTCTTGCATAAGTAATAACTGAATACATTCTTTGAAAAATTGAATCTGGAAAAAGTTAAAGCTGCTACCCGTTATTCCATCTCTCATCTATAGAAGTAACCACTTCTATCAATTTGAGGTAAATTTTTTATAACTATTTCTGTGCATCACTCTGTGTGTGTGTGTGTGTGTATAGTAGATAGATAGACAAGATAGAAAGTTTGTTTTATGGATTTGTAAAAAACTGTGTGTATTGATGTACAACTTAGTCTTAACCTAATATGTTAAGAATTGAAGATCATTCTGTGCCATTTCTTACACATCTACTTCATTTCTCTTTTAATTACTGTATAATATTCCATGTAATGGAAGAGCCATAGTTTATTTAATCATCTCCCACTTGATATAAAATGTATATTATTTTCAAGTTTTGGCTGTTACAAACAGTGCTTCAGTAGTATTTTGTGTCTTGTGTGTTCACATATGAACGTTTTATAAGAAAGACAATGAGAAAGGAATTACTAGATAAACCAATATCCAGGTTGCCAAATTGCCCTTCAGAAAAGCTTCACCTATTTCATACTCCTATCTGTGGATAGGTAGCTGGAAAATGATGCTGGCGATCACATGATAGAATTTTGTAAGACCAATGACTTATTCATTGCAAATACTTTTTCAACAATGTAAATGGTACTATACAAGTGGACCTCACTGGATAGAATACACAGGAATCAAATCAGTTGCATCTATGGAAAGAGACAGTGGAGAAGCTGAGTATTATCCATCAGAACAAGCTCAGGAGCTGACTGCAGAACAGATCATTAATTACTCTCTATGCAGGTTGAAGTTGAAGCTAAAGGAAATTAAAACAAGTTCACAAGAGCCATATACAACCTTGAGTATATTCCACCTGAATTTAGAGACCATCTCAAGATTAGATTTGACATATTGAATGCTAATGACCAAAGAAGACCAGACAAGTTGTACAAGGACATCATACATTAGGAAAGCGAAAGGTCATTAAAAAGACAGGAAAGAAAAAGAAGACCAAAATGGATGTCAGAAGAGACTCTGAAATTTGCTCTTGAATGTAAAGTAGCCAAAGCATATGGAAGAAATGATGAAGTAAAAGAGTTGAGTAGAAGACTTCAAAATGCGGCTCAAAAAGACAAAGTGCAAGACCTAGAATTAGAAAACTGAAAGAGAAGAATATGCTCAGCATTTCTCAAGTTGAAAGAATTGAAGAAAAAATTCAAGCAGTGATTTATTAAATATTGAAGGATTCTATGGGAATCTACGTAGGAGCTCTGGTGGCGTAGTGCCTGAGGCATTTGACTGCTAACCAGAAGGCTGGTGGTTCAAACCCATCAGCCACTCCTTGGAAGGATGATTGGGCAATCTTCTTCTGTAGAGATACCACCTCAGAAACCCAAGGAAGAGTTATGAATTAGATTCAACTCTGGGCAAAATATTGAATGATGCAGAAAGCATCAAAAGAAGATGGAAGGAATACACAGAGTCACTGTACCAAAAAGAATTGGTCAACATTCAACCACTTCAGAAAGTAGCATATGACAAAGAACTGATGAAGGAAAGAAGTCCAGGTTGTACTGAAGGCAGTGGCGAAAAACAAAGCTCTAGGAGTTAATGGAGTACTAATTGCTATGTTTCAACAAACAGATGTGATGCTGGAAGCATTCACTCTATGCCGAGAAATTTGGAAATTAGCTACCTGGCCAGCCAACTGAAAGAGAGCCATATTTGTGCTCATACCAAAGAAAGATGATCCAACAGAATGTGGAAATTATCAAACAATATCATTAATATCATACAAAAGTAAAATTTTTCTGAAGATACTTCAAAAACAGCTGCAGCAGTATCAGCAGGGAACTGCCAGAAATTCAAGCCAGATTCAGGAGATGATAGAGAACAAAGAATATAATTGCTTATGTCAGCTGGATCTTGGCTGAAAGCAGAGAATACCAGAAAGGCATTTACCTGTGTTGTATTGACTATGCAGAGGCATTCGATTGTGTAAATCATAACAAATTATGGATAACATTGTGAAGAATGGGAATTCCAGAACACTTAATTGTGCTCATGCAGAACCTTTATATAGATCAAGAGACAGTCATTCAAACAGAACAAGGGAATACTGTGTGGTTCAAAATGAAGAAAGGGGTGCATCAGGGTTGTAGCCTTTCACCATACTTACTCACTCAGTATGCTGAGCAAATAATCCAAGAAGTTGGACTATCTGAGGAAGAAGAACATGGCACCTAGACTGGAGAAAGATTCATTAACAGGCCTGAGATATGCAGATGACACAGCCTTGCTTGCTGAAAGTGAAGACTTGAAGCACTTACTGATGACTGCAGCTTTTCATATGGGTTACTCCTCAATAAGAAACAAAAATCCTCACAACTGGACCAATAAGCAGTATCACAGTAAGCAGATAAAAGATTGAAGTTGTCAAGGATTTCATTTTGTTTGGATTGACAGTCAACTTCCATGGAAGCAGCAGTCAGTAAAGAAAATGATGTACTGCATTGAGCAAATCTGTTGCAAGAGACCTCCTTAAAGTGTTAAAAAGCAAAGATGTCACTTCAGGGACTAAAGTGCATCAGACCCAAGCACTTTTTTGTTGTTGTTGTTTGTTTTGTTTTCCAGTTGCTTCAAATGCATGTGAGATGCCTTAGGCGCTTGGCCACCAGAACTACCTCGGAAACCCAATGGAGCATGTGAAAGCTGGACAGTGAATAAGGAAGACCAAAGAAGAACCGATTTAATTATGGTGCTGACAAAGAATGTTGAATATATCATGGACTACCAGAAGAACGAACAAGTAGCTCTTGGAAGAACTACAGTCAGAATGTACCTTAGAGGCAAAGACGGTGGTGAGACTTTGTCTCATATACTTTGTATATATTATCAAGCGAAACCAGTTTCTGGAGAAGGGTATCGTGCTTGGTAAAGAAGAGGGTCAACAAAAAAGAGAAGTACTCTCAATGAGATGAATTGACACAGTGGCTGCAGCAATGGGCTCAAACATGGCAACAATTGTGAGGATGGCACAGGACTGGGCAGTATTTCTTTCTGTTGTACATAGGCTCACTCTGAGTCAGAACTGACTCCGCAGCACCTAACAACAACATCCATGGTGAGTATAAAATTAAGGAAGTACTCATTCTCTCCCAATTTTGCTTCTTCCCTTTCATCCTTCCACAAATACTGAGTGCCTATGTATACTGAACATTGTTTTATACTTTGGAAATTTAGTAGCAAAATAGACAGTTTCCTGCACAGATAGTACTTATATTCTTTTTTTTTTTTATCAGCAGTTGATAATACCAATCATATTTTTGCCAATATGATGTACAGAAATTTTGTCTCATATTTTACAGTGTATTCCTGATTTTTCTATTAACCTGAGGATCTTTTAATATGTTTATTGTCCTTCCTTTTCTGTGAATTGCCTACCTTTTGGGGCGGGGGGGGGAAGTTGCTGTCTTTTCTTACTGATTTATGAGTTCTTCATATGTTAGATATGAATCCTATGTTATGTTTACCGATTATGTTTTTCTTAGTCACTTAATATTCTTATTATTCAAATACAAATTACCACAGTTTTGTATACAAATCTTAAGTATACAAAAAAAAAAAAAAAAAACCAAACTAACTGCCATCAAGTTGAGTCCAACTCATAGCGACCCATCCTTGGGTTTCCGAGGCCATATCTCTACAGAAGTAGATTGCCTAATCTTCCTTCCGAGCAGTGGCTGGTGGGTTTGAACTGCCACCCTTCTAGTTAGCAGTCACATGCCTCAGGCACTTTGCTACCATAACTACAGCTTAGTGAATTTTTTTCATATATAAAGAGCTCTGGTGGCGTAATGAATAAGGCATTTGGCCACTTAACCAGAAGGTCAGTGGTTCAAATCCTCCAGCCACTCTGCAGAAGGAAGATGGGGCAGTCTTCTTCCATAAAGATTGACCATCTTGGAAACCCAATGGGGGTCGCTTTAAGTCAGAATCAATTTGATGGCAGTGGGTTTGGTACACTCAGTTAGCCACAGCCCAGATTGAATTTCCCAGATAGACAGTTCCCATCATCACAGGACAATGCTGATTGGTAGAGCTTTCTTTGCAAAGAAAAATTCTGTATTTCATATGTTCAGAAGATCATCATTGGCTAATTTTCCATAGATTGCCAGGCTTTCTAGTTTGCCTTACTTAGTCTGGAAGCTCTACTGAAACCTGTCCACACGATGAGTAACCCTATTAGTACTTGAAATTCTCATAGCATAGCTTCTGGCATCATACCAACATGCATGCCACCATAATATGACAAACTGACAGGTGGTGAACCCTCTGTTAAACACATA